TTTTTTTTTTTTTTTTTTTTTTTTTTTTTTTTTTTTTTTTTTTTAAGCAATCACTCCAGAAATGGAAGCAGCAGATTCACAGGACAATAACTACCTCTCTCTCTCGGAGTGCTGAGGTTACCACACTACACACTCGAGCAGCAAAGCTTTCACTTCAAAGAGATTTGTTTTCCTTACCTCTGTGTTTCAGAAATGCAGGTCTGCTCTGTAAAGTGACTCTAGGAAAATGGCATCTGGCAGGAGCAGGGGGAGCCCCTCGGGGTCCAGAGTCCCTCCAGTTCCTCGCAGTGACCTTTGCAGGTTGGCTCTGGGGCTGTGACAGTTCAGGGGGGCTTTGTCACCTCCCGGGTGCTGCACAACAGTGAACTGTCCCATGGGCTCAGCATCCTGCACTGGGAAATCAGTCAGTGGTGGGAAAGGTGAGGGGAGAATCCATCTCCCTCCTGCCTCCAAGGGAGCAGGCAGCATTAAAAAAAAAAAAAAAAAGCAATAAGATAAAAATAAAAACACTTTTATATGTCGTTCATTAGTCAGCAGATCTGACTCTGCCAATTTATATATATATATATATATATACACAAACACATACAGAGAGCAGATCTCTTGTGTGAAAAGGTGCCATTTTTTTCTAACCAGAGTCCCTTTCCAAACTAGAACAGCACTTTAAAATAGGTTCCTCTTTAAAAAAAAATTAAAAAAAAACTTAAAAAAAAAAAAAGAAAACCCTTTACTGCAGCAATGCACTTTAACTGGTCAGACGAGTACAGCTGTGGCCGGCCTGGGACACAGCTGGATGGGCAGGCGGCTCCTGGGCAGCCAGAGCCCAGGGGGAGCCTCGTTGCCAGCCCCTGGGATGCCCCTGGGATGCCCAGGCAGCCCCAAAGCCACGGCAGCTCTACCTCCGGAGCCCCCCAGGCCGGCCCAGCCCTGCAGGGAGGGACCCGGGGCACTGACAGGGCTGGGCCCCTGGGACACTCTGCCATCGGTCCAGAGAACCCACCCTTGCCTGGAAAAGAAGATTTAAACCCCGTTTTTAACAGGTCAGAAGTTGCACCCCGTTAGGACCCCGCTGAGCTCGGCTGCGCAGCAAAGCCGGGAGGAAGTTGTGACTGGGGCTGTGGGGTTTTTCCATAACGTGGATATGGAGCCCTCGTCAGTTCAGTATATTTTTTTTTTTTTTTTTTTTAAATGCAAGTTTGTGTGTCCCACATTGATTCTGCTCTGAGCTGGTTTGCAGAGTAACCATTTGTAACAGAAATTGTGCTGTCGCCTTCAACTGTTGGCCTATATCAAACTTTTTAGGACAGGTGTCCTAACACTCAAGACTTACTTTAACAGTTCAGAAATTTCCTGCTGTACTAATTATTCTCCATTTTTTTTTGTTTTGTTTTAATTTTATTTTATTTTTGGTTGTAATCCTTATTTCAAGAAGAAAAAGTCAGTGTTCAGACTAGTCTGCAGTAGGTTGAAGAGTGAGCCTGCTGTGTGTAACTCGTGGATATCAGACTGTTTTTCAGTGATTTTCCAAGCTGTTCCCAAGCTGGTCCTCCAGCACCACTTCCCTCTTCCTCTTCCAGCAGGTGCTGGCAGACCGTGGCCAGTGGCAAACAGGGCCAGCCAGAGCTGCTGGAGAGGCGTGGGCAAGGGGTGGCAGAGGGGAACCAGAGCTGGGGAAGGGGGAAATAAAACCGAGGTAGAGGGACTGTACAATTGCATTGAAAGCAGTTTAGCGAAAAGCGCTCTCGTCGGACAGCTTTAAGAACAATGTGAATGAAAACTTAGCAACTTGGGTAGGAATCTTGGAAAATTCTATAAATGTATACTTGAAATTCTGTTTGTATTAAAAACAACAAAAAAAATCGCATTTTCTTCTTTCTTTTAACACTGTGTAAAAGAACATTATGCATGTGAGTGGTTTGAGAATTAAATGGTTTAATACTCAGATCCTTGTCTGTGTCGTGGAGCTGACTGGTGTGACCCGGGTGTGTTCTCTTGACCAGGTGAGCAGGCAGAAGATGGGACCAAGAAAGGAAAAGCCCCAGTGGTGACTGCCCGAGGAGGGCAGGGAGAGGAAGAGCTGCTTTCTGAGCTCTTAGTTATTTCCAAAATGCTCCCCCTTTTTCTCCCAGGGCCCCAGGCATAACTTACACTCTCAGCTTCTTCCCGAGGTGTAACTCCAGGGCAGGCAGGTGAGCCCAGAAAGGACGGTGCCTCACAGGGGTTGCTACAGCTGGAGGAGGTGGCTCTCCGTGTCCAAACCCACGTGCCACTCACAGCACAAACGCAGATGCTCAAACTTTGCTCCTGGGAGCAGGAGGAAACCTGTGCAAAACCCTGCATAACCCTAGGGCTTCCAAAACCAGAGACCCAGTGACCAAACCCCTGTCAGGGCAGCTGTGGGGTAACTGCAGCATTGCTTGGCCGAGAGAAGCCTTTACAGAGGTGGCTGTTTTCACTGGTCCTACCACAGCCAGACTAAAGGGCCCACTGGGGACGGACACCCACCACACTCTCCATCCTGAGGACAGCCTTGGCAGAGGTCGTACAGCAGTGAAGCCACCTGGAGAGCACCAGAGGCCACACGTGTGGCCCGGGAGTTTAAGTCTTCTTAAAAACTCTTCTTCTGAACTCTGAAGACTAGGTTAAGTCTTCAGAGCCTTGGCTGTCACTGGTGCCTGGTGACTGGTGTCACTGGTGTGTTGGACACAGCAGAGCTGCTGGCAAGCAGGGCACAGCTGTTTGGCAGCTCTTCCACCCACCAGCTGCCGTGGAAGGATGGTCCTGGCCCAGCCAGCACAAACCCTGTGGTTGCTGCTGTTCCACTGACCTGTCCAGCATGGGGTGGTTGTGCCGGGACCGGGGAACGCAGGGAAGGGCCTGCTTGTTGGAAAGGGAGAGTTTAAATGGGTCTAGGAAGCGGCCTGGGGCAATCTGTGCATTCAGAGATCAGTCTGTTAGGTACAGATCTACGGGTTTTAATGAACCAGGGGATCACAGGTACAGCTTGAGGCCCGAAAGGGAGGAGGGGTGGACAGGGGAAGGACAGCAGTGCTGGACTCGGGTTTGGGGGCCGCACAACTACCGGTGCTTCCCTTTGCATGCAGGGTGGAGCAGGTGAGGGGCCCTGTGAGCCTCCTCTCCCCTGGGAGGAGTAGGGACAGCCCAGCTGGATGCAGTCCCTCCCTGCAGCTGGCACCAAACAGCCACACCAACCACGCCAGGAGCAGCCTGGGCTTTGTGGCAATACCCCAGTGCCCCTCTTCCCGAGGCAGAGGAGGGAGAGGAGGGGCCCTGCCAGCCCCTTTAGGAGCAAGGATCAGCTATCCTGCCCATGAAGATGATGGTGTTGAGGGCGGCTTCCCGGATGAAGAGCAGGAAGGGCCTGTTGGCATTGAAGATTCTTCTGTTCATGGGGAAGGAGCGGCCGGAGATGGTGACGGCTGTGGCAGCTGATGCCTCGCTGCCTTCTTCATTCACCTGCCAACCAAGGGAGAAGGTGGGATTAAAACACAGGCACCGTGCAGTTCTCCTTCCAGAACCCCAAACTGCTGAGGAAACCAACACCAGGGGTTCAGAGCTACTTTTTTCTTTTAATGCTACCTGTTTTGCAAAGCCAAGAGGAGGACACCCTGGCACACAAGAAAGCTCACCTCAAGGAAGGCTTTGTGGAAAGCGTCAGACACGTACAGGTCTGTGCGGCCCTCTGCGATGATGCCTGCAGCACAGAGGGGACAAAGGGAAAACTGAGTTTAGGCACAGCCCAAGGGAGAACACATCCCCATCCACCATGGCTGGGACCAGGCAGAAGGCACTGCTGCCCTAAAATGAAAATACGCTCCCCCACACCACTGAACTGCCACGTCCTCAGTGCAGAGCAGGGCTGCCTCTCCACGGTGGGACTTGACCAGAGCCCATCACTGACTGTGGCAACATCTAAATGCTTTCAATGTTCTTGTTCCTCACGTGCTGCTGCACCTACTGGCCCTGGCACCTGTGGAGGAAGGGCTGCCCCCCATCCCCACCTCTCACCTGGGAGCCTGGCGTTCTCCGGACTGAAGAGATCCTCCAGCCCCATTTTCTGCAGCTTCTCCTTGACGCTGAAGCTGTCCTCGACACGGAAGCGGGGCAGGTAAACAAAGAGGGACACCTCCTTCATGGAGTCTATCCAGCCCTGCAGCTTCTCCGACGTCAGCTCCCGCTCCACGTCCTCCAGCGGTGTCCCCGCACTGGGCAGCACCAGCACCATGGTGATGTCATCCCCTTTGTAGGGCAGCTCCAGCACCTGCACTTTGTCCTGGGGGATGAACGCGTAGGGGAATTTGGACTCCCGGTACATGGTCGGGACTTGGCACGTCTCGCCGTTGGCTTTATGAAAATCATCCAGTTTTGTGTTGGGAGCTGGGAACTGCGATTTCCAGTGCCCCTGAAAGGGAGAGGGGGAGCACAGACATGAGCACCTTGTCTCCCCCAGGGACGTGGGCTCCTCCCCCAGGTGTTGTTAGCCATACCTTAAAGTAAATGGTGTTGACCAGGACCAAGACAGTGAGCTCATCAATACCTCTCTCTGGGATCACTTCTGTGATGCGTCTCTCTGTCTTATTAGCCACCCACTCGTTAATGATCTCCCTGGAAAGTTCTGGCTTCTCCTGAAGGGGGAGACCCAAACAAGGTTAAGCCAAGGGTTTCAAAGGTTTCAAACACCTCTTCTGCAGGGGACAGGTTCCCAGGGTGTGTGCTGGGGGGAGGACACTGCCCCCAGAGCAGTGCTGAGCAGTGAGGAGTGGGGACGTGGCTGTGGTTAAGGGTGAGCTGGAACAAGAGCAGCTGCATCCCAGGCTCCCTCCTGCCTTCACTCATATCTCACACCCCCAGAGCAGGGCACTTCCTCTGGGCAAAAGGCAGGGATGCAGCCAAAGCAGAAGGATGACGGGGAGGGGGAAAAGGAGGAGAACCCAAACAACAAAAAAAAAAGCAAAGCCACAAGTAGATCAAACCCACTTTGAAGTTCAAAGGCCAGAGCTTGGCTCCATAAACGATTTCGCTGATGTTCTGGTAGGTCTCGTTGAAGACCAAGGATTTCTCCCCAAAGAGGCGGTTGGCAGACACCAGCTCCGAGGATTTGTTGGCTTTTTTGTAAAGCCGGCAGTTCAGCTTGGCGAAGAAGAAGTGGATCTGATCCGACGTCTTTTCCGAAATGGTGTCGAATCGGAACACCTGGAGGGGCCAAGCAGCGAGAAGGGACCCGTGAGCAGCTTCCTGTGCTCCTGGGCCCCACGGAAAGTACTGGGGCAGCCTCTGCCTCGACAGCTAGGGAACCTGCAGGCCCTCTGAGCGTAACTGGGAACCCAAATCTACATAAAACCAACTCCCCATCAGCCCAAGGTCTCCTTTGGAGCCCAGGTGGAGGATTAAACCCTGCTCAGGTGCTGCTCCCGTGTCTTACTCTGGTTTCCTTGCTCTCAGTACTCTGCCTGTGACTGGTTCCAGCTTCCCCCAGTGCTACCACAGCCCCAGCAGGGCCTGGAAGCAGCTCTCAGGTCATTCCAGGTCACAGGAGGACTGACAAGGTTTGCGCTGAACCTGTGACAATGCCAAAGGCTGCTCCTTCCCAGGAGGAATTCTCGTGGCCTGTTGAGTAATTCTGGTACATCTTATCTATTTTTACAAGGAATGGGAACATGTAGCAATCATTTTGAGGGTAGATTTTTGCAGCACAGGGAAATTTTTTTTATCTGCTCCCAGCTGGAAGGACAGTTATGATTTGTCTACTGCTCTCCAACCTCAGGCCTTTAAGGCACAGAAAATCCCACAGCATGTTGCTCTTCCCACGAGGCTCCTTGTGGACAGGCTCCCCTGCCCTGCAAGTCAAGTGGACTGCAGGGTGTCCTCCCACGTGTCTGATTTTTGTCCCAAGGGAGAGAGAGAGGGAACATGAAAAAGAGCCTCTCCCAACGGGACTCGATTATCACAGCTTCTCCTGCTTTTAGCATAAAGAAATGCTTAGCTATGTGCTTGCCCAATCTGCAAGAAACAAACTGTTCCCATTCCCTTCCCTCATCTCCCAAAGAGGCTTCCTTTCTTCCAGATGAAAACTAACCTCTCAAACCCAGAAAATCCACCCCGAATGCTGGACCTAAATAAGGAGTCAGGGGAAAGAGCTGCTATCTAAATAAATGTAGAGACAAGCAGCCTGTCTCTGCCCCTTCCCAGGGTCTTGTTTAAAGGCCTCAAGACCAGGCTGGATGGGACTGGTTGTTCTCCTGGTACAGCTCATCTCAATCCCAGTCTCTCCTCTACACCAAATAGACTTTTCCCCTCCCCACTGTATTCCTGGTGGGACAGTCAGGAATTGTGTGGATGCCCATTCACATACTTAATGCTATAGAGAGGTACCTTGCAAAGTCTCCTCTATATGGAATGCTACATCCCAACCCTGGAAGTGTTCCAGGCCAGGTTGGATGGGACTTGGAGCAACCTGGGCTAGAGGAAGGCGTCCCTCTAGGGGGTTCCCCCATGGCAGGGGGGGGGAACGAGATGAGCTTCAAGGTCCCTTCCAACCCAAACCATCCTGTGGTTCTGTGACTCCATTCCCAGGGCAGGGAGCTGTGCTGGCCCTGAGAGCATCCATCAGCCACGATCACCCTTCCTGCCTTTGAGACCCGCCCCAGGAAGAGGCTGAGGAGTGCCCACCGACCTCCATGAGCTGCTGCAGGGTGCTGCCACAGGCTCCCAGCTTGGTCATGGCGAAGGCCGTGGAGATGCTGAGGGGCGACAGGAAGATGTTCTCCCCGCTGTCCTTGGAGTCAGCCAGGTACTTGTAGAAGACCACGGCAAAGCGGGAGTTGGCCCTCGACAGCTCCCACACGCGGGGGTTGGTGGACTCCGGGAGCTTCTCCTTGGCCGGCTCCTGCCCCTCGCCCTCGGGGGGCTTCCTCTCGGGGTTGCGGTAGATGCAGACGGGGCTGACGGGGATGTCGCGGGGCTTGGCGGTGCAGATGTCCCCCACAGCGTAGGGCTCGGGGACAGCCACCCCACACATGCCCAGGAGGCACAGCAGCACCAGACGCATCGTCCTGGAACACAGACAGAGCGCTCAGGCACACGGCCTGTCCCCAAACCAGCCAACCTTGGAGGCACAGGAGCCCACGCTCCTCTCTCCCATCCTCCCTTTATCCTGGAGCTGCAGGATCAACCAGGAGGGCACACAGACACCAGCAGAACAAGTGTGCCTCTAAGCCATCAGCCAGTGGGGTGGCTGCAGTGGAAGGGCCCTGCCTGTGTGGTGTTTCCCCAGGGTGACCTCACACTATTCCAGTTCCTGATGCGGGAGATGCTCTGGCAGAGAAGAGAGGTGATAAGGGAGAGGTCTCCAGGGGAGTTGGTCCCTCCGTGCTCTGAGCATCTTTAATGCCCTCAGAAATGTATTGTGTAAGCACGTGTGGTGTAGCTGCTGCATCCCAGCTATTCCTGTCCAAAGCTCACAGCACCTCAATGCAAAGGGGTTGTCCCTGGTACCTGAGGAGGGCAGGATGATGTTAACCACCACCTTCCAGCAAAAGCAGGTCTTTGAAAATCTCCCAGAAAGGCAGAGACAATTTGTCTTTTCCACCTTTGCTGAAGCACACAGAATGATGGAATGGTTTGGGTTGGAAGGGACTGTGAAGCCCATCCCATTCCACCCCCTGCCCTGGGCAGGGACACCTTCCACCAGCCCAGGTTGCTCCAAGCCCCATCCAACCTGGCCTGGGACACTTCCAGGGATCCAGGGGCAGCCACAGCTTCTCTGGGCAACCTGTGCCAGGGCCTGCCCGCCCTCCCAGGGGAGAATTTCCTCCTAAATCCCATCACCCACCAGCTCTGGCAGTGAGGCCTCAGCCACACCAGGGCCGACACAGCACGTCCCATTTGTTCACATCCCTGTAGGAGGAAGCTCACACACCACAGCCACAACAGCTTGGGAAATAACCACTAGGAAGGGCTGGCAGCCTGCCCAGGACTTGCCTGCCACGGGAGACTTTTTCAAACGTGTGTGTGTGACTCGGGTAGGTCTCTGCCTGCCCCCACACACTCACTGCATGGCTACCGAGCACACCCTCCCGAGAAACTAAGTTAAAAATCAGCTGCACTTAGCACTGGTGGTCCCTGTGTCTGTGGTCCTGCAGTGCTGGTGGGCCAGCACCTGTGGGAGGAAAACAGCAGCATCAAAAGGGCTGGTGTGGGATGGAGGAGAGCTCTGGGTTCTTCCACAACCCCCTCTCCCGGGCTGTTGGGCAATGACTTCATCTCTGCTCCAGTTCCTCTGCAAAAGCAGAAATTACCTCATCTGGCACCAAGACTGAGTGGAGCCCCAAGGGCCCCTCTCCATTCGCTGATAGCACAGCAACCAGGACTGTGAGAAAACACGCAAAACAAGGGGCTCACTCAGGCCACAGCCTCACTGGGAATGACAAACACATCACCTTCCTAAAGGTTCGGGACAGATGCGACACTGCAAAGGGCAAAACAATCCAACAGGGGAGGGCAGTCAAACAAAGGCAGAAACAACCCCCAACCCCCGGGGCAGGAGGGCAAGGGACAGGAAAGCTGTTGGGACAATTGAAAGCACTCCAGGAAGCGCCACTCTTCCGAACCTTTCACTCCCACCGGAATAATCAGCCCGCAACGAGCCAAGCACGCTGCAGAGCTCCGTGGCCCTGGGGCCGGGAACAGAGCCCTTCCCTGCCTGCAGCAGCCCTCCCTCACCCGCGCCGAGTCCTGCAGCTGCAGTAGGAAGGACAATCTCACCACGGTCCCTGCCCCGGCACTCTGCTCTCCTCTGGGAAAGGCAGATCCTGACATGCCTGCACAAGGACAAATCCCTGCTCCTGCCCAGCCACGGGCAGCTCGTGGGGCCTGCCAGGGCACAGAGTGCTGCTAATCCGCTCTCACATTTAAAACCAAAGCACAGGAGTGAGGAGAGCACCTCATCCTCACCCTGCCCTGACTAAATGGGAGAGACTCCCTGTCTCTGCTCTGCAGTAAAGTGCTGGGCCATCGCTTGAGAGGAGATACAGGACTTTCTGCTAACCCCTTAAACCAACTTTACCCTCCACTAAAGCTGGCCTGGCCCCTGGTACGTCCAGTCTTGGCTCTTACAGGCAAGAGCCTTTGCTGTTTCTTAGGCCAGCTCTTTGTTGTAGCACTTGGCCAAAACCCACTCCCCCTCCCCTCCCAGCTCTTCAACGCTCCCTCTTCCCTTGCAGCACTGCCACACACTCCATGTGTCAACAGCTTTCATCCTGGAAGGATCCCAAAGTATTCCCAAACAGCACTGCCTGAAAGGGGTTACTGGCAAGGGACAAAGTAGAAACTAGAAAAGGCTCTTAGAAGGGTAAAGCAACAAAAAGGAGCACAGAAAGCCAAGGAACAAGTTGCTGATTCAGCTTGAAATCAGAAGGCTCTGGGAAGGGCCGAGCAACTCCCCCATCCCATGGCTGCTGTGACACAGCTGGGCTCCAGCCACAGGCCCTTTCCATCCCACTGTTCCTCAGGGCTGCAGGGCAGGGCAGCTACGTGGGCTTGCAGACCCCCAGCACCCACCCTGCTGGACCTACTGGGGTACTGGTGGTGGTGTGGCTGTCCCACAGCACCCACACACTGTGTGCAGAACCCAGCTGGTGGGAAGCAGCTCAAACCATCGTGAGATTAACTCTGGCTCCAGAGGAACCTTCCCTGCCTCCCCACATCCCAAACTCAGAGTGCAAAGCAAACCAGGGGTGCTCTCCTACAGCCAGCGACTGCTTGGGACATCCTGACCTTAGGAATTCTCTCCTCACCACAAAGCACTGCTGCAGCTTGGGGATAGAAGTGGAACAGGATGCTTTAGTGAGCTGTACAGAAGTCAGCCCTCCTGAGAGCTGGGATGGGAGCGAGGATCCTCTAGAAAAGAGCAAAAAACCCACTCTGGCAGCAGCTACAATTCAAAGGCTCCTACAAAGCGAAAAGAGTTAAGTAACAATGAAAGGAGTTAATTAACGATGAAAGATTAGTGGAATCTGTTTCTCTTACCTGCCCCTCCAGCCTTCCACTTTTAGGAGGTAAATGTAAATTGTTAAGAGGACAGTCTTGCTTGAGCCCAAAGCCTTTTCCCCCACTGGATTTCTGTGCTCAAGCAGAGCTGAGACAACAGCAGGGGACAGTGGGAGGGGAGTAGGATGCTGAGGCCAAAGGCTGATGACCAGCTGCTGAAGGTTAAGCAAAGAGCAGGAAAAAAAGCAATGTTTAGTTTGAAAGAGGTTTTAAAGTTCAATCTGACAAGGGAAAGTTTGACCACCTACCCCACACAAGTGCCAGGCGCCTTCAGTTCCTGCCCACAGCAAATTAGCTGCTTACCCCATGAGAAGAAACCCAAAACTTTGAGTTCAAATAAAAATGTGACGATCCAAGCTATCTTTAATTCTCCTTTGGGTATCTCATAGCTTAGAAAAAGGTTTCCCCACCCTGTCACCTGTCCCCCACTTCCAGACAGGCACAGGCTGGGAGAAGCTGCCCCACCTCCCGCTCTGCAGTTTCAAATAACATCAAATAACCACACTCACCTGGAACAGGCTCCCCTGGGAAGTGGTCACTGCCCCAAACCTGCCAGAGCTCAAGGAGTGTTTGGAGCTGGGACAACACCCTCAGGCTCAGGGTGGGACTGTTGGGGTGCCCTGCGTAGGGTCAGGAGTTGGACCTGATGATCCTTGATGGTCCCCTCTTCCAGCTCAGGGTATTCTGTGGTTCTGTGTCCTTTCACTTGCACAGCTGGAAAGCTGAGGATTATCAGCAGCTCCCCCACCTGCAGTCCAGGTGCACATGGCAGTGCTGGGAGCAGGGCAGCACCACTGCCCACCTGGGATGCAGCTGCTCTACCAATTACAGTAAACCTGTTTTGTGAGTGCAGCAGGTAAATGGTCATTTATTGCTGGTTCAGCAATAAATTTGGGTGCTCACGGGGGAGTTTTATGATGAGGCACAGGGCAGATGACTCATGCACTCAAAGGAGTGAGATGGGATCAAGGAATCCCATGTTCTGGGCTTGCCTTCTCCAGCTCCCTTCTATCCTAGTGCCCACACCTAAAGGGAAAAAGATTTTCCAGCAGGTACCATCCACTTGAACCCAGTTCCCCCCTCTTTTCCACATTAAAAAAATCCCAATTTCCCCAAATCTCTCTTGAAGCAGAGCAGCCACCGCTCCCTCTCAAAGGGATCTGACTCTCCACAGCACTTCAGCTCTTCCTTTTAAAAGCCAGAAGGCTCTGCCTGCCCTGCAATAGGAGAAGGAAGAGTTTTTCAGCCAAGCAGCAGCCAGTTTCAGATTTACAGCCAGATAATGACTTGTTAGAGCCCACAAAAAAGGACTGAAAGGAGAAGATTAAAAACCACAAAGCAGACTGTGGGACAAACCCTGATGACTCTAAGGCAAGTCCCAAACCAGGCTCAACATGTGACGAGTGCTGCTCGCTCCTTCTCCGAAGGGTTTGGGTTGGGTTTGGGTTTCAGATAGGAACTCTGAGCAATTGGTAAAACGTTACTTTGAGTATCCCCCTCATCCACCTCTGGGGAAGGAGCCACTTTGTTCACAGGTGGAGTCAGAAGAGACCAGACCAAGGAGAAACAAGTGGCTCCTCTGCTGTTTGCAGCTCTTTTGGTCCAGCCCAGCAGAGAACAAACACACCTTGACCTGGAGAAAGCCTTACAGAGATGATCTCTGACAGTCCTACACCTCACTGGAAATCTAGAAGAGTGCACACTCCCCCCAGACAGAAAACAAGAGATATTTCAAAGTGTTCTCCATTAATTTATCATTTAATATAAATGCTGACAGAAAAGCAGGTAAGACCTTGTCTATTTACAAACCAAATAGCGAATCATCACCTTTCCACCCTTTTTTTTTTTTGTTGAATCTGCAACTCAAAGGACCCTTAGACACTGTGTGAGAGCAAGGTGAGGTTGAGTCAGCTTTAAGAGGGAGAAAGGCAAGGTGAAGACTGAAGAAATAACATTTCAACATATGGCTTTTTCTGTATAACCACCACGCACATACAAAAGGTCTCCACTCCCTTGTCCTTTCGTACGAAGATGACAGTGTTGGCTGAAGATAAAATAAAGGAGACAAATACTGACTTTCAGATCTCTGGATTCTTTTGCCTCCTCCAATCCACCCTGCCCCACTTCAGAACAGTATCTAAAAGGCTTTTCTTTCAAGTTTAAGAAGTGTATTGCAGGAGTAAAGACACAGGGAGTTAGATATAGAAAATTCTTTCTTCTACTCCTTTTGTCATCTCAGTTTTCCCCAAAGGTAGCAAAGCATCCAACCTTTCCTGGAAAAGAGGCACCAACTCCCTGTGTGCCTCTGGACATCTCCCCTGTGACCGGGCCTGTATGTACAAGACTTCAAAAATTCCCCTGAACTTGCAAAGAATTCAATTTACGGAATTCTTCTCATACATTCTACTTCATCTCTACTCCTATTAAGAATGTTTTGATAGTTACAGACAACAAATATCCACAATATCAACCCAGAGTCAGCCGTTCCCATAAAAGAGTGAGAGTTTTTGTTGATGGGAAGGAAGAACAGAAAAGGAAGAAAACAGCAGAAAGAGAAGAAAAGCAAGAAAAAAACCAGTTCAAACAGAGAGACTGAATGAATGTTTTGTTCAGCACTGATTCATGAGAACAACAGACAGGGAATTTCACTTATCCAGGATCCTAAATAAATTCAAGAAATAGTTCATAACCTGACCCAACAAACCTCATGGTCTCCTTTTTATTACCTAGACTATCCTTTATTTTATTTTTTGTTAAATATACCTCTGCAGGGCACAATCACATACAATCAATACGATTGGAAAATTACATGAGCTCTATCCCAAGCATATACGCACCAATGTTAAAAAGTTATTTAAAAAAAAACAAACAAACCAAAAAAATTAAAATAAAACTCCACCCAAAAAGGTGATAATGACTGCAGAATGTCTCGGGGAGACTTGTACGGAACTAACAAGATCGAAGAAAATCAGGCTTACAGAAACCAGGAAAACAAAAATCATCGATAGAGAAATCCCACAACTGGAAGCAGGTGATTTCAGAGGGGGTGTGGGAACCCTTGGAGAGATCCCAGAGATTTTCTGCCCTCCTCTCACACGTGCCTTTTGTCACCTCTTCCTCCCCACGGCAGCAAGCACAGTGGGGAGAGAGCTCGACACCGCTCCCAGTCCCAGAACACGGGCAAGAACAGCCAAGCTACGGCACAGCTGCTAAGCTGACTTCGAGCAAAGCTCCTTGTAGCATGGAGGCTGCTTACACAGCAAGCAGAGGCCAAAGGGGGAATGGGAACTCCTTAAAATCAGGAAAAACAACTCTTAAAACATCACTGGGTTTGCCCAGGTGGAGCAGCCCCGCTGGCGAGAGGCTGCGGGTGAACGGTCCCGTCTGAGCCGGGCAGCAGCTGGGGGGGCACGGGGGCTGCCCCTCCGCTCTCTCAGGTTGCCTCACACGTTTATAAAAGGCTGCTGCCAAGTTTCTGTTTAAAAAGCTACAAATAAAGAGGTCAGCACACACATCCAGTTGTGGGATCCATCCAATACACAGTCTGGTTTGGATGCCAAAGACTTGTGAGCACTGTCTGCCACAGAACTATTAATCAGGTATCTTTAACATTACAAAGAAGCAAATAATGTCTTAAACAGCAAATATTCCACAAGATTTTCTTTTCCTTATTTTTTGCTTACAGATATATTTTCCCCATATACATTTCACATGTCATTCCACCATGGCTAATGCTTTTTATTTCCAGAGACACTGCACCACCTGTTGCTTCCATCTCTCCCAACACTGCATGTTTCAAACTGGAGTTGGTAATTGTGTTTTCCTAAAGCTTTTCAGATCTCAGAATCAGTTGTTTCCTGGCACATGAAAACATCCAACTGGTATATCATATCCAAGGAAAGCTGCCTTGCTGGATGTCCCCAGTCACCTAAAACCTTCCCAAACTGCTGAACACTCAAATCATACACAGACTCAGTGGAATGGCAAAGATTGCCTGGGATGGACCAGTTAATTATCCCTGTTACTGAGCCACAGGCATCCAATTCTGAACATTATGGCCACATATTTTAAGCTTCAAATGACTGGGATGTTCCTAGGCAGACAAATCCACACTGCCACATGCTTGTCTTACTGGGAAATTTCAGGAAAAGCTGCAGCCTCTTTGCCTACCAGTGTACACAGACTTCCCACAACGTGGTATCACACGTGCCATTAGGAAATTATATTATAAACAAAAGAAGCATTGAGTTTGTTCTCCCTTGCCTGCTAATTAAGCTCTCCCTGCCTCGGATGCTGTGACAACACTAAGCCATTACATTCCTCTTCCTACAGAAGAAGGATCACAAGTTAACTGTGTAAGGACACTGTACTGGAGTAACATTCCCCAAAATTCCTTATTTATACTGTATAAGTTGAATTAACTTACTTCAGCCTCTTTCATCCACTGCTATTCCAACAGAAAATAATGCAGTTGGGAACACTTGAGTGTGGAAAAGAGAACCCCCAATGAAGTTTTTGACATTTCAGTGTCTACTTGACGTGAGAGCAAATCAATTTGTGCTGCAAAATAACCTGTGTGTTGATCTACAAGCAACAACCACCCAGCTCTTGGCAGCAAGGCTGTACCCTAGAGGTGGCTCAGGAGATCTGCTTCCCTTCCCTCAGAAATTCAGTTTACACTTAATCAAGCAACTCAGATGTTTTTCCAGTTCCTGCCTACATGACCATGTACACAGCTCAACAGCTTCTGCTTCCTGGGTTGGTTTTTTTTCAGTCCAGCAAAGATATTTTTCATTGGGGTTCTTCAGATATCTGTCCTGTGAGTCTGCTTTGTTAGAGCCCAGATTCATAAATGGCAATGGAAATGAGGGTTTGTGCTACTTGGACTCAAAGATTTCTCTCTGAACCTAAAAACCTTGGTACCAAGCCTGCCAGAGTTTGAGCAGATCAAGGAAGGGAAACGCAAGTGGCTTTCTTGTATTAACAAGAAAAGCCTCACTCCTGGCCCTTTCTGAGACAGAATCTGCCCCACCTTACTCAGTTTGTGCTGTCAAGAGACAATATGACCATACAAGTTTGGTTCTTCCACATCTAATTTAATGTAATGCTGGAGTTTGACAAGTCCTTCCAGTTCCAATGGGCTT